CATATGATAATTCATTTACGGACTCATACTGGAGAGAAACCTTTTGAATGTTCTTACTGCAAAAAGAAATTTAACCAGAAACAGAATTTGATAATTCATTCACAGATTCACACTGAAGAAAAACCTTTTGAATGCTCTTACTGTAAAAAGAAATTTAACCAGAAACATCATATGATAGATCATTCACGGACTCATACTGGAGAGAAGCCTTTTGAATGTTCTTACTGCAAAAAGAAATTTTCCCGGAAGCATCAAATGATAATTCATTTACGGACTCATACTGGAGAGAAACCTTTTGAATGCTCTTACTGCAAAAAGAAATTTGCTTCAAATAGATGTTTAACACTTCACATAAGAAGTCACACTGGATTGATTCCTTTTGAATGCTCTTACTGCAAAAAGAATTTTACCCGGAAACTAGACATGATAATTCATTCACGGGTTCATACTGGAGAGAAACCTTTTGAATGTTCTTACTGCAAAAAGAAATTTACCCGGAAACAACATATGATAAATCATTTACGGACTCATACTGGAGAGAAACCTTTTGAATGTTCTTACTGCAAAAAGAAATTTACCCAGAAACAAAATATGATACGTCATTCACWGACTCATACTGGAGAGAAACCTTTTGAATGCTAAAATAGATGTTGATATTTGAATGTTTTAAATAGATGTTTAACACATCACCCGAGAACTCACACTGGATTGAGGMCATGTTAATTRAAGACWTTTTTTGTTTTGTTTTGTTTGTAAATGTTTTTGTGAAAACATGTTAATGATGGTTGTCATTCACTTGTATTGCACTCAAAGTTTTTAGCAAGAAAATAGTTTTAATTCACATACAGTAAACAACAATCTCCTGCATAAAAAATGAGGCACCATGAATTATTACATTATCTTTTCCCTTCTCTCCTGTTCAATGTTGATTTGGGGACTGCAATCAGATGAATATACCCCAAAAACAACAGAACTCTCCCACCAACATTGTACAGGGGAACAGGGTCATAGGTGACTTGTTTTTTTTTTATGAAGAAGAAGATTGTAGTTGGTTACCACACTTATATAATACTGAGTATTTACCAGATTTTGCTGTTGTTGTTTTTGATTTCGATTTTTATTGAAGTAGACTTGAAGGAAACGAAATACATTTCTCAACTTTTATCCATGTTTTTTCCTTGACTTAAAGCATTTTATTTGTACATAGTTGTGGTTCTCAGTCCTGTTTTTCTCTCCTCATGTTTTTTTATCTTTTCATTAACCTATTCACACTCGTCTAGATTACTAGGTGGATACAACTATCCTTAGTTCATCAGCCAAATTGGAAAATGTTTGAAAARCATTTCTTAATTCATCAGTAAATGTCTGAGAGAAATCTTTTCCGACCTTGCTGGGGGATGGAGAAATGAGGCAAAAAATCCAAAACATTTATTATTAAACTTTATTTATTTTTATTAAAATTTGTTTATTTATTGTTCGTAAATAAAGAGTTGTCGCAAATCTTGGCATGCTTTTTTTAAAGAAGTTTTTGAAATCTGACACTGTTTATTTTCAGCTTCCAATGAAATTTGTAGTTAATTTTAGACGTTGCTCCCCCCCGCCACCTCCCTCTTTAATGCACAAAAAATTAGATGTTACCCCCCTCTGGATTCTCAATCCCCCCCACTCCTGATAAATATTGTGCAGTGCCTTATAATCCCGGGGGGGGGACTCCCTAATATCAAAGGGCGGGGGTCCTCGGCGGAGATTGTGAAAATGACCCCTAAAAGGGACCTCTATTGTGAGATGATGGGCGTGGCAGTGCTGAAATTTCAACCCTAAAAGGGACCAATCAATAACAGGTCATTTTGTTTTGGTTTACCGATTTTATTTGTGTTTTTACACAATCATCGAACACCGTCGGCTCGTATTGAGTTTATGACGACGTTGCCATTTTATGACTGCTTAGGGTCGCCGTATACCCTAAAAGGGACCACAAAACACAGTTGGTAGGAATTCTTGTCATGATCACCCTAAGCGGGACCAAAATACTAATTTCAAACCCTAAAAGGGACGCCGAGGACCCCCGCCCTTTGATGTTAGGGAGTCCCCCCCCCGGGCTTATAATGTTGAGCGCTGCCTGCACTCTATATTTTTTATAACTCGCTTTTTTTATGAATCGATGAAGATTTTTTGGCTATTGTTTTGAGTGCTTATGATTGGACAAGATCTTTTAATACAAAAGAAACTTTGTTTCAAAACCGAGTTTATTTACATTTAACATTAAATTGCAGATGCCACAATGGAATGTAAAAGGTTTTGATTATATTATTTGGTAAGTCGAGAGTTAATATTCAAACTAAGGAAATTTGCCTTGAAATATCTCTAGATAAGTAAGAAATGCTTTAAATGCGACATGGAATATTTCTAGTTTTATAAAAGTTTGGTTGTCTGCCTGTAGCTTCTAGTCGAGGCGCGCCCAGTTTTTTGACCGGTTATCCAGCAAAAATCGCCTTGCAAAACGCTTTCAAAGATCGGCCACAGAACTCCGCTGTTGTTCATTCAAGGACTTGAAAAGTCATGGATACAAACTGGATAGAATACAAGTGTAAGTCAGGACAGACTTTGTTTATCTACAACAAGGTGACTGGGGAGCACAAGTGGCCGACTGGTGAGGTAAGTTGATGTACAGTAAGGGGGCATAGAAATGGTGTCTCAGAAATCGCAAGGCTTGCAAAAAATTTCCGAAGACTCGCAAGATCGGATTCAAAATCGCTTTTCACTCAGAAGCTCGCAACTGCCGAAATATCGTATGCGTTCAGCCAATCAGACAAGAAGATCAACATAATTACAAAGTATAAGTAGTTTAAAACACGAGAGAGAGTGTTTTAAATGGCTTCAAAAACTCCAACACTAATTTGAAACTCAAATCCGTTAAAATTCTTATATGTAATAGGACTCCATGCTGTCCAATTAAGAAATAATTGGACAAGGAAAATTCCGAGGACTGCCAAAAAGAAATTTTCCCTGAAACATCATCTGATAAGTCATTCAAGGACTCATACTGGAGAGAAACCATAGTTTGAATGTTCTTACTGCAAAAAAAAATTTACCCGGAAACAAGATATGATAGATCATTCACGGACGCATACTGGAGAGAAACCTTTTGAATGTTCTTACTGCAAAAAGAAATTTATCAAGAAACATAATATGATAATTCATTCACGGACTCATACTGGAGAGAAACCTTTTGAATGCTCTTACTGCAAAAAGAAATTTGTACATAAGAATTCCTTAACATATCACTTAAAAACACATGCTGTAGAGTAGCCCTTTTAATACTCTTTAATGCGTGCATGTACTGTGAAAAGACATTTTAACAAAATCAAACTGGGAAATCCATTTGAGTATTCT